TGGTTGGAGATGGGACAGACTTCTACAGGAATATCCCTCTTCAGAGACAAATTTTTGGCTACTGGGTGTTTAATGAGAGCAAGTCCATGGCCGATCCTGCTGGTATTCAGTAGCAATGCATCCAGCACATTATTGTCTACAGAGGTGCCCTGCCAGTCTGAGCAGAGACAGGTAAGAGTCACTGAAGTGCTGTGAGGAAATAAAGCTTCTCAAACTGCTAGATGATTTTGTTAATAGAGGTTCCAGTTTGTGAGGTGAGAGGGTTGCTCACGCTCAGAGTTTCCACTTGCATTTTCAGTGAAACAGGGATCTAAATCTGCTCAGGATATTGCCCAGCATGCAGATACCCACTCATCTCACCTGGCTTTAGATGTTTCAGTATTGCTCTTGCAGCTGAGTTAATTATGCTGGACTCCATTTCTTGTCAATGGAGAGAAGTAACAATTATTGGGGTGTAGCCTGTGCATTAGAATGAGATGTATTGTGGCTTAGAAGTGCTCGCTCCTGCCTGTGGCTATAAAGGGAGCCCAGGGTAACCACACTTGTTCTGTTGATGTCACCATGCAACACACAAGGCACACGGCTCTCCTGGTTAGGATAAATCCCACCAAAGCAGACTGAATAATATTGCCAATAATAATACATTGGCCCAGGAATGAGGGGTACATCAGTTACTTTGATAAGCCTGTTCAGTTAAGAGTCAAGTCTGGCTCAAACATTATTTTACCTTTAAATGTAAAATGATGGTTGGGGGACTCTGCTGCTGTTGTGGATGGGAAGTGAGTGCTGTTCCAAGGGGGAAATAGCTACCAGCAACAACTCCTACACGTGACTCCTTGTCACACCAGGTCAAAGACACTGAGCAATGTGACACCTACAGTCAAAAGCAAGTAGGGGTCATGTAGGAATGCCACAGCCCCAAACTGATATGGGGAGAAGCATAGGGGAAACTGGTTATGTGCATGTGTATGCCCACACATCCTCTTGATACAGCCAGCAAGCAAGCCAGGCTTGCTGCTTCTGCTCTTTGCAAGATTTCAGTCTTGCCTCTGAAAGCAATAACAAGCCTTGAGTCCTCATGCTCACCAGTCTCCCCAGCATGGAAGAAGTATGGCAAGTTGACCCCCATGGAATATGGGATGGTCAGGGCATCCTTCAGGTCCCATAAAGAATGACCTTCATCCTCATCACCAACCTGGGGGAAGGCAGAAAGGTATTTTTTAGCACACTTGGGAAGATGGTGGGACTTACAGCTCTATATAAATGAGGTGCCAGCTGTGCTGAAATTACAATGCTGTGGGGTAGGGAGCTGATTTTTTCAGGGGATTTTGTCAATTACCCTGAACAAAATCCTTAGCAGGAGGATTTGCAAATCATTAACACTGATTTCAGGACAGCAGCAGAGGTTCTGGCTCTGGTATACAACATATGCTACGGTATATATGTGGTTATACCACCAGGGGTTAATGTGAAGCCCCAGAAAAAATGCAGTTACCAGGTCGAAGCCTGCCAGGGTGTCTGGGAAGCGGGCTCTGAGTGCCATGGCAGTGACGACGGCTTCTTTAATCTGGGAAACATTCAGCATCCTAGAGAGCAAGAGAGAGAAAGCGCTGCAGAAGCTGACCCCCATGGGCCTGCCTTCTCAGGGTTTGAGTTGTGAAATGGGGTCCCCAGGGGTATTTCCAAAATGCAAGTTGCTCTTGAATCTGACAACCAGCTTCAAGTCTCTAGAGGAACAGCAGTATAAAATTGATATTATGAAACAAAACCCATGAATGACCAGGAAATGCCTGGCTAGACCCTGCTGTCACTTGTGTTGAGGCATGCTTGTCTGGCTCACCGGATTTCCTATTTACCAAGCAGGGAAGGGAACACAACAGTGTGGAGAGAAAATATTAAATTTTTTTTCTTTCCTCCCGGCTGTTTGGTTGGGAAGTGAGGCAGTAACTGCATTTCAAGAGAGTTTTACATTTAGGTTCCTTCTAGCCCTATCAGACTTAAACTTCTCAGTGCATTTTGCAGACTGTGTCCATACTCAAGCTGGCCAGAGAGGCAAGAACTGGCGAGGGCACGATGCCAAACCAGAGCGAGTAAGCGCTGCTGAGAGGTCTGCTCTGCTTGCTGAGGATCACCTCACATGACTTCATGGCATCTGGCTGCCTTGGAGAGCAGCCTTGTGCCCGCCTGCCCGGGCAGCAGCACGAACATACCATACACAGGCTGTGTGCCGGGTCCTGTCGGAATCTGTGGGTATTGGTGATTCTGAGATTGTAGAAAGTCTCTGTCTTTCTGCCCCGTTGCCAAAGAAGAAGCCATAATTCGTCTGTGCTGGTTTCAAGGTTGTTTATTTTTGCTTATCTATAACATGTTCTGCTGCCCTGCCGCAGCTCTGTCCTGCAGGGCAGCGTGTGGGGCTCTGCCCTCAGTGGGATGTTACAAACATTAAATACCAGAAACTACCTGTGCTGGATTTACAATAACGTGCCAATATCTGTCACCTACGTTGGACAGTGTGTCCCCAGCCTAAACCAACAGAAAAATGCCAACACTACAGTGAAACATGGAGGGCATGAAGAAGGAGGAAAAGGACAAGACACTCCCAATTCCTCCATCTTGTCCCCTCTGAACCCCTAATCTAGAAACCTAAAATTTTACTTCTGCACCTGTGTCACACTTAATTATTACTCTTATCAAACACTCAGAGCTTGTAATTCATCCTGTAAGATTGAAAACTCTTTTCCATAGACAGAGATCACAGACAGTGTCTCTGGGGGCTCTGTCCAGGGGGGTTCCTGACCCCTGCCAGGGTCCCAGACCTGCCAGGGCAGCCAGAGGGAAGCCCTGGATTCCCACAGGGTCCCACTGGGACCTCTGCCACGCTGAGCTCCCATCCTCAGGCACTGCCATCACTGCTTCAGTGTCTGCAGGGCAGGGCAGTGCACCCAGGCTTGGGAGGAGAGCAGGCACGGCTTAGACACGCACACAGGCAGCACTGTCCGGGCTCATTTCCACTCCCAGGGTTCACGGACACTCCTCTGGCTTGTTTTGCACGCAGGCAGACCCACAGAGATGGGTTCTCACCCTCAGCCTTTCACATGTGCCAGGGAACATCTCCAGAGTCAACAACTCACGTGGACATCACCAGCCAGCTTTGGCACTCCAGCCCAGCGTAGCCTCTCCCAGCCCTCTGCCCAGCTCCGACACAGCACAGCTGCTCTTAGCCCTGCTCTGCCTCTACCTGTGTGCTGTAAATATAATCTTGGCTCCAACAAAGTCTGGGTGCTCCTTCACAAACCGCCTGGTCACTTCCCGGTAGGTTGCCACAGACCACGATTTATTGTGCTTGGTGCCATCCAGTTCATACACCTGCAGCGTGAAAAGGAACGTGACAAGCAGTAGTTAGAAGAGGTGTTTTACTGGAAGGTGGGAGACATGAAGTGACAAAAACCTTGGGAGAAGCAGAGTGCTCTGATCCTGAGAACAGGGCAGGAAAACAAAAGCAGTGAAATCTGTGCAGAACATTTGCTTCTTCAAGCCTTTACCAGCTGGAAAGAACCAAGGAGTGGGTTTCCCCCTCCTATGTAATACGAGTTTCTCTGTGTTCAGACGTGGCAAGCAAACGCCCTTGAGAGCCCTGAGGAGACCGTGACCTCTTACTCCTGTCTGCATCCACTGCTGTAGTGTTTTGTCCAGCTGTCTGCAGCTCACAAATGCTCTGTGCCTTGCAGTGGCAATCTGTCAGCTGAGGCAGCCCCAAGGCAGGCGATGGCTGAGCTCCATAAGCTACCAGCTGAGCTGGGCTCCTGCTCCTCTCTGCCAGAGGTTTGCTTCATGACCTTGAGTCAGTCATTTAGTCTTGCCATGTTTTCCCAGGTCTCTGGCTGCAAACTGGTAAAAATAATCCTTCTGGCATGCTCTGTTTCATTAACTTGCACTGGAGGTTCCTCTCTACCAGGGCTGTTCTCTGGGCTTTTGCCTTGATTTCAGCAGGGGTGGAGACCCTGAATTGATACTAACCCACAAGGCCCTGCCTGCAGTCGCTCACAGACAGCAGCTGAAACCACTCCATCAGTTCTCCTCTCACCCTTCTCACCATTCTTTTCTCTGTCACCTTTCTCCTCCAGCCTTCAACTGCTCCACTTCACCCCCTAACTTCCTCTGCTGTCCCTTACAGGCATGCCCCTCACAAAGCCCCACACCCTGTCACAATATGATGTCCCCCTTGCAGGCACCAGCAGCTGTGGGGCAGCTGCAGATGCTCAGAGGGAATTTTCCCCAGCTGCAGCCCATGGGAATGTGAGACTTTACACAGCCGAATCTGCAAACACAGCTGGGCTTAGGGGGCTTTTCCACAGTGTTTGCTGTTTCACACTAAATCCCAGTTTCATTTACTTTACTTCAGGGGCCGCTTTTGGCAGGCTTTGCTGCATGGAGAGCTTTGGCAGCCTCAGCGCTGCTGTCCGAGCCTTGTGGAGGATCTCCAGCCACACGAGCATCTTGCTATTCCCGTCACACCCTGCTCACCTTGACTTTCCCCATGAAGAATTTCCCTGCCCTCTCACCCCAGCTTCAGCCTGACTGTCCCTTTGCTGCCCACGCTGCCCTCCATCCCAGCATGGCCACGGCTCCTGGCATTGCCTGCCGTGGTACTCCAGGCAGCCTTCCTGGAGCTCACAGCAATGGAGCTCACAGTGCTGCAGCTCACAGCAATGCAGCTCACAGCAATGCAGCTCACAGCGCTGGAGCTGCCAGCTGCAGGCAAGCCCCAGGGCTCTGCAGGCTCCCACGGCTGCCGCCAGCACCAGGAGCTGGATGGGAAGCAAATCTTGCCTGCCAAGCCTCTCTTCAAAAGGACTTACAACCGTGTCTAAGGGCTGATGGTAAAGGCAGGGTATTTTCCAGGCAGGCCCACGCACTTGAATCAAGGCAGATACTCTTGGCCTGGAAACCTGTGTGGCCTGAGGGGACGCCAGCGCTCGCGCTGCCTCACGGCACAGGCATTTTGACATTGCTGTTATTTTCTCTTTCCAGGTACCCCAAAGACAGGTGGTGGCTGAACTCAGAGCAACTGGCTCATGGCAACCCCCAGCAAAGTAAGGTTCATGTAATTTTGTGGACTTCTCCACGTCCTTCCCCACCACCCCCCCCCCCCCCTTTGCAATACATCCTTCTCCTCTCAGGCACAATAGACTGATAGAACTGCCACCCCCACAGAGTCCTGCATGGGGCTTGCCTGGAGAATTGCATGGGAAAGGTGTGTCTGCAGTGACAAAATTGTCACTAGGGAAGAGGGAGCACTTAGGGTGGTGTGGTCTGCTGGTGCTTAGGGAGGCATTAGGGCAGAGTGGGTTTGTAGGACAGCCTGACCAGCTCTGGGTGACACGCAGGGAGAAAGGCCTGAACCTTTACCAGATTTTGGTGTTAATAGCAATGAAAGGAGCAGTTCATACTTCATACACACAGCCAAAATTTTCGGTTGTCTGCAGATCGTGGGAGGTTGTGTTTTGCTAATTGATTGACTCACCTATTCAGAGCAATCGTTATGAAATAAGCTGAGGATTTAAAATAACGTACCTATTCCAGAATAAGTCCCTATCCAAGACAGAGTAGCTGCCACAGAACAGGTGATTCTGGTGCAGACAAAAGTGAGCTACATCTTCCCAATAAGCAAGATTTTGACCCAGCTCCCAGTCTGACTTAATGTAGTTTTGTGCCTATGTCACAGCAGGTATCTCCTTCAGCCATTAAGAACAAAGAATCTCTCAAGCCCTTGCCTATGCAAATCTCCAAGAAAGATGTTTGGATATGATCAAGGTTTTCCAGCATCCTTAAAAGGGCAGGTATGCAAACATCCAAAAACTAAATTCAAGATAGGGCTTGAGAAAAGTTATGGAGAAATAAGGATTTAAAAGATTAATAGAGAAGCCAAACCCCACGTACCGCAGGCAGGATAGCTCTTATCTCAACATACTGTATGTTATCTTCATAGAGCTCCAGCAGCCCCTGGTAGAAATAGGCCTTGAACACAGGTGCATAGCAGATAAGTCCAGAGGCAATGAGAAAGATTTCTTCAAATCTTTTCCAAATGAAAGCCTGAGAAGGGTAGGCCAGCTCAGGGGCATCTGTCACCAGGGTCAGGTTTCTCAGCAAGCTACAGAAAAGGGAGAAGAGAAGGAATGAGGAGAACAAACAGAGCCTGTTGGCACTGCAGTACAACAGCGACTGGTGCAACTAGGAAGCATTCAGGTCAATTGTCTGCCACCTGTATTTACTCCTCTAATGGCTGGCACACAATTTTTATGATACATGTTGAACTGTAAGCAGGGTTAGGAGTAGGTGTTTAAAACCTGCCCTGTCCCTTTTTCAAGGAACAGAGTTACAAAAGCAAGTATGGAGCTTTTATATCAATTATACTCTGCTACCCAGGGTATCCCTAATCTGAAAGTAGGCATGCACATTACTCCTGCAGACAATAAGTTTTCCAGAGAATCTTCAATGCATGTCACAACACTTGGCCCTTTGTTCAGCACCTAAAAGGCAGACTGAGTTTACAGGAGATGCCATGTACTGGGCCACCACCAACCTGCTTGCTGAGCCCATAAGTTGTCCTGGTATATTTTGACCTTTGTATTGTCTAAATATGCCATCCAAAAAAAATACAAGGGAAAGACACGTCTGAATCAGAAATAATTTTTCCCAGCCACTGAGAACAAACGTGATGCCCCACCTGCCTTGCTGATAGCTACTTCAGGGAAAGAGCTGATAAGAATCTCAGTCCTGGCTTTTCCTTAGTATGATAGAAATGTATTTATTGTCTCCATACACTCAGCTGGCATATAAGCCTCTTTCAGAAATCCAGAGAGACAGTGGGTAGTTTATCAAACAGACTTTATGGGAGTCAGTAAATTGCAAGAATATCTAATTGTGGGTGACAGCTTGCACTTAGGATAGGTGAACATCTGTGCCACACCACCATCCTCTGGGAAGCTGATAGCCTTCATCCCATGTGAAGCCCTGCCCCTGGCATGAGCCTTCCTTCTTTCACCTAAAGAGTAGTTCATAATGAATTTCTGCTACCAGTGGGCAAAGTGGAAATGGCAATGCAGGGGTGCTTAACTTCATTCCTGGGTGGACAAATGGAAGCCCATCACAGAAACCTACAGATGTTTTCTTGCTGGCCCAGTGCTTGTCTCGTGTCAGGGGCTAAGCAGGTTCAGACAGAAATACCTTCAGCCATGCTTCAGCTTTTATCTGGGTATATTGTTTCCCCTCAATAACAGCTACTGATCTTTAATAATGTTTCCTGTTTGATGTCTTGGCCCCCATCCTTGCGCAGTGCTCTGCTCTGTTATATGGGAGGTGTGGCTTTGATTTGTGATCTTATTATCTTCATCCAGGACACTTCTGCGGATGGAATTAAACCCCCACAGCCCCCCTACAGATGTAAAATGTGATCTGGTCCAAATTCGTAAACTAAGACATCCTGGACAGATATGCCTTTTGAATCCCTCCATCCTGCCCATAAAACAGAGCCTATTCCCTCAGGATTTGCCTGCTGTTTCACTCTCAAAGGATTCTCTTCCAGGGCCTGCAGTTTCATTTCTTTCTCACTCTGTTAATTTCTTTGCCAGGAATGATTTTAGAAGCAAACCTGTACATAAAAGAGATGCTACTGCTGTTAAGGATGAGACTTTAAGTGCTCAACAGTCAGGAAAATTCTGAGTTAAGGTTTCCACGGCAGCTTGGGCTCTGCTCTCCCATGCATTACACCTGGGGCTTTGGTGCCATTATGGCAGGACACTGGGCAACCCCAGCTACTGTTCAGTAACCCATGCGACCAAAGAGCGAGCTGGACCACGGAAGGGGCAGGCATCACCCTAGAAACCAGGAATGCAGGAGCATCCTGAAGGCGCAGAAAGGGAGTGCTGCCGCTCATCGGGGAGGTTTTGTGTGGGAAGAGCTGGGGGAAGGAGAATTTGCCCCTTCCCTCGTGGCCAAAGGGCAGCTCCCCTCCAGCTCAGCACCTGCCCAGAGCCGGGAGCCGAGCGGGGCTGTTCCCACTGGCGCTGCGAGCGCCCAGGGAAAAACCTCCCCGTGGATCAAAAGGAGGTGCAAGCCCGTTCTCGCCGCTCCAGGCAGCTCCCTGGCAGATAAGGATGGGTGCTCAGTCAGGCTGGGCTCCCACTGCTTTCTCCCCTTGGCCTGTGAGAACGCGGCTCCTCCAGCAATGCGCTGCTCCCCGCCTTTAAATCTGGCTGTACAAACTCGAGGTTGTTTGCTTAGCCTGTGCTCTTGGGCTAGAAACAGCAATAAATCCCCACACCACCCTGCTCCTAAAAGCACATAAATCAAATTGTACTTCTCTTTATAATCCCCTTCCCTTTGAGACTGATTATTGATCCTTACAACTGCTGAAGATTTATTGCATAATAGTGATCCATCCTTGATAACCAGATAATCTCCTAAGGGTTCGGGGGCTTTTGCCATCAGTAGCTCATGCAGATGAAGCAAAGCTTCATAAATACATTCTTTTTTTGCTTCTTTTCTGGAATGGGCCTTCACCGGTGATCAGGTGCAGACTACAAACAGCCTTCCATGTCATGTCATGTATGCACTGAACAATGCTATTGCAATGTATATGACCAAAGGGGCACAGCTAAAATGACCAGCCAAGGATTATTTACTTTCAGCTGTGAGTTTGCTTTCTCTTTTCCTGGGTTTTTTCCCCATTTTCCTTTCCTGTGCTATATAATACAGAAGTGAAGTGTTTCATTGCCTTGTTTTTAAAGGGATTCTTTTTCCTGCTCCTTTTTTCTGTTCTCGATGGCTAATTATGCCCCTCTCCTCACCGTAGTATCTAAATGTCTTCCAGTGGTGCATTAAATAGTGTGACTAACATCTGTCACATGTGGTTCATTCGCTTTCTCTCGCTCTCTCTCATCCCCTCTTCTTCTCCCCACGGGGAGACTTGTAGAGGGAGTGGAGTGCTTTGTTTCTGTAGTGGATTTTTATTCCTTTTTTCCCCCCTCTTACTGCACACACTGCCCTATTTTTCTGTGAGATAAGGCTGTCAGAAGACAGAGGGGAAGGTGATGGCAGCCCGGGCATCCACCAGTGCCCAGGGGAGTTGTCCCTGCAGCCTGGGCCGTGGTGTCAGCTCCCTCACAGATGACTTCATCCTGGTGATAGAGAGCTCTGCTGGGCACAGTCCTTGTGCTGCTGGTGGGGGGTGTGCGGTGGTATTTTACAAATATCTGGAATGTCAATGCTGCTTCCCTAAATATCTGGGGGCATGCTCTTGCTTTGGAGATGGCAGCCATTATGTTGCTTCTTGAGGGAAAGAATGACATTCTCCTGTATTGTAATTGATTGTGATGAAAATAAGTGAGGATTGTTTTTTCTTTTAAAAAGCAAAATTCCCTTCCTTTTGCTGTCCCTTGGTCTGTGGTCTCCTGGCTCTCCTAACAGCATCCTTTTGTAAGCTCACCAGTAACACAATACTCTGGGGTCTTGGCCCATGAGATGTGTGTTTTGAACAGGAATGATTAGACTTTCTCTTGAGGGAAACAAACAAAAGGGGTCCCTTCCAAAGCACACACACACGCGTGCGTATATGTACCTAAAAATGCAAACAGCAAAAAAAAATCTTGCAGATTCCCCTTTCTTCCACCCCTTCCTGGTCAGAAATGCTGTAAGGTGAAAGAGGTGCAGCTTCTCAGAAACATTTCCATTGTTCCTTCACATTTGCTGATCCACCCTGTCTTGCATGAGAGCCCTTCCCTGCTGCCATATTCCCTTGACACTTCCTTTAAACCACCCAACTATCCATCCGTTCTTTCCTCTGACATCTGCTTTCTCTCAGCTTGTCAGTGCTCAAGGGCAAAGAGGAGTGCAGGAGAGAGGTAGCCTGGGATGCACATGTTCAAGAGACTGGGAGAGTTTCCAGCAACTGAGAAGCAGAACAGATTGGGGCCTATTCCTGGCTAGAGACCTATTTCCAGACGGCCAAAAACATTCCTAACCCCTAGACTAGTGCCCAGGGATTAGATGAGAATAGGAGGGGAAGTGCCTCAGTGTGGCTGTTGTTGGTGTGTTTGCACATTATGCCTAATGACTCCTCTGTGATTTTGTGGTGATGAGCACAGAAGGGCAAGAAATGAAGGACAACTTACTCAAATGGATAAGTGAGCACCCAGGATGCCAGAGATCCAAGTATGTTCTTGGCTCAGGCTCATGTTTGCTGAGGAAAATCACTTCGTTGGCCTCTGCCTCGGTTTCTCCTCCACATTTGGGGAGACCCTTGCAGTGAGGCTCTGTGCAGTGCCTGCCACTCTGAAGTCCTGCTCTGACTTGTGGACACTAAACACTGTCAGGCAAATACAAAAGAGGAGGAATGTGGCAATACTGCCTCTGAAAACAAGTGTTTCCACACAGGAGCAGAGGGAGCCACACAATGCACAGCCCCAGTCACCCAGGTGTACAGGGTATACAGGATGCCCTGCCCTTCAGCCTCTGCCAGAAAGTGGCATCATGCCATGGAAACACAACTTAAAACAAGTGCAATGAAAGGTTGCTCCTGAGACACTTCTAAATGCCCAGTGCAGTTGCTTGTGCTTTAAGGAAGTGAAGCTGTTTCAAAATCCAATCTCTTGCACATTATTTATGGGTCTCCTGGTGTGGTTGAAGAGAGCTGGTGCTGTCATCTTTCCTTCCTAATCACTCCCAGCAGAAATGGAAGGGAGCTAATGGGGAACCAGTTTTCTCTCTGGAAGACAGAGATCAGTGACTTCTCACTGGATCTTATTTCGTCCATGACGTGTCAGAGCAGTTGAGCCACAGGATATAAAAGGTCAAGAGCCCAGGGTCTGGCACTTTCTCCTTCCCTTCTGGACTTCCATAAGAGAGGGATGGTGGATGCCCTGGAGAGTTAGACCCCTGTGCCCATTGCTGGTTTTAGGGAGGGAAGGCAATGCCTCAGGCTCCTCAGCTTCCCAACCTGACCTTCCCAGAACTGCAGGGCACAGAGCCCAAACAGCTTCCACGTGGATGGGGTACCAGCTCACTAAGAGTTAAAAGGTCTCTACTTAAGAGCACACAACCTCACTGAAGAGCACTGCAGTAAAACCCACCAAGTTTCACTTCAGAAATGCTGGAATTAGGGTCATCTGCATTGCCTTAATCCAGCCCTCTCCTTGTGTGTTGGCATGGCAATACTGTCTGTGATTACATGACACCCCACACTTTTTTTTCTGCAGACCCTGAGCGCCACGGACAGCAGTGCCCTCTGAATGGATGGCTACTCAATATTTTCCTTTGTCCTCATCACTCAGTGTCTGACTTCATGCATTATTTAGCATGCTCTCTCCAGCCCCCCACACACCATGGCAGAGCTGCATGCTTCCTCTTGGCCTTTTCAGCAGGGCTTTGTCCTGGGATCAAGGCCCCTGGATGGGGAGACAGGACTCTGTCTTCCCATCTCTGCTGGCTAGAGAGGGAGCCAGGCTCTTCCCAGCCACCTGTAAGTGAATGAATGCCAGGTGGTTCAGACTAGCCCAGCTTTGATAAAAGGCTGCCAGCAGTAAAGGCAGGAGCTGCCTGCAGGGAAGGGAGCTCCTGCAGGAGGTGAGTGATGCTCTGAGGGACCAGCTGAGGTGTGAGCACCTGGACAGCTGCAGGAGCCTTGCTTGTAAGGGCACAAGCTCTGTTAGCAGGAGGGTGTTTGAGGGGAAGGAGCTCCAAACCAGGGGTTCCTTGGCTCAGCCAGTGCCCAGGAGGGCAAGCCACAGCTCCTGGTGTCTGAGTGGCCTGCTGGGAATGAGTGCCTCATGCTTCCAGGTGGTGGGTGCCAGTGGAGTTTCAAAGGCAGGCCTCAGAAAAGAAGTTTGGTGTTTGGAGGGACAGCTGGGTTGGGTTTTATTCTGGGAAGTTTGAGAGGTTTTGTTAGTGCAGTAATTAACACAAGTAACATAACTTCTTGCTCTGAATCAAAGCAATGACGTTGCAAGGACTTTTCTGAGCCTGTTCATCAGCTACCTGGCTTCCTAATCCCGTTTTTTGATACCTCACTGGATGAGGCACCATATAGCTCTGTCCTACACTGAGAGCCCATTCAGCCTGGGTGCTGAGGAAAGCTGGAGACAAGTCTCATAAATCTACTTCAGCTACTGTCCTCAGCATGTCTGTACAGAGGGCCAGAGCGAGTGTGCACAGAAAAAATCAGTTTTTATGGTCCCTGACTCTGGTGTACTTAATGCTGCAGCCTTCAAGCTCTTAGCTTGCTATTTGCTTTTTCACGTGCACAGCCCTAGCCGGAGTTCCTCACCTGCAGAGCAGCGAGCAGAAGGGAAAGCTGGACCAGAACCGACAGGTTGGCCACCCTGCTGCACTCACCCTCTGTCAAACTCGGCCACGTCCCTCAGCTGTCCCCGGTAGGTGTCCAGCAGCAGCCACGGGGAGCACAGGGCTGGTGGCGGGCGGGGAGGACGCGGTCGGGAGAAGCGGAAGCGCACGGAGCCCGTGGGGGTGAAGCAGATGTAGCAGTGGGGCAGGTAGGAGGCATTGAACACCAGCCAGCCCACGCTCAGCATGGCGAAGTCGTGCAGGTGGAGCACAGCACCTGGTGGGGGACAAGGACAGCCTGATGAGCCCAGGCAGCTGGGAAGAAGGTTTAATGTGGTAACAGTTTGTTTGCCCATCCGGGGGTGTCTGGAAATGCTTCTAGAAGGCTGTGAGTGAGCTCTCCCAGCAAGGACTGCAGGGCTGCTCTGCCTCCCCCAGGCTGGAGGATGTGGCCCCCTCCACATCAGACACTGGGCAGGCAGAGCGTGACAGCTCCCTGGGAGCACAGGGAGGGGGGAAATCAATAGGGAGCTCTGCTTCTCCACTGGGATGGAAAATGCTCCGAGTTATTAAAGGTCTTTCAGGCAGACTTTGCTGTGAGCTGGCTCAGGCCCCACTGCTTTAAAGAGAAACTTGCACAGGAGGCAGCAGTTTACAAGGCATGCTGGCTGAAGCACACCTGAAGCAAGGCTCTCTATCTAAGCTGTTTGGATCACAGCTTCAATTTTTGTGTCTAGTGCATGTCTCTTCTTTCAACTCTCTGGAACTCTGGCATACACCAAAATCCCAGACCATGTTACTCTGGGGAATTGCACTCAGATGCAGAAGTACAATTTACTTCTGTGCCTTATCAAAAGCATGCTCGCTTACATTGTACATCTGCTGCTGGCCAGCACGAAGGGCCTCTGGGGTACTCTGTTATTGTGCAGCATGTTGGCAGCTGCCAGTCTTCCTGGCATAGGAAGCATCCTCTGTATGCTCACCTTCCTTATCATTCCATTTTGCTGAAATCTCTCCTTTTCCAAAGACTCCTGGTGTTATTGGTGCTTGAACTAAGCCTCACCTTTGTAAAGGGAAGATACTGTGAGAGCTGAAGTCTCAGATATATATTTTATTAGTCTAGGGGAGACCTCTTAGTCAAAATAGCTTTGATGCCCTTAAGGGTAAAGGGAGAACATGAACAGCAAGAACAAGACACAAGATTGGTATGTATTTGACATTAGATTAAGTTCCAGGCTATAAGTGATAGTGGACTAATGTAATATAGACTCATGTCTATGATCTCCCACTACAGAGGGGCTGGCTGAGAAGATGCTGAGGAGCTGTGGTTGCTGCTCTCAGCAGAGCTGGTGCACTAGACTGGGCATGCTGCAGCTGTCTGTCCCTCCTCTGGCTGGCAATGTCACCCTCTTCCCTATGAGAGCAGCACAGACATTACAATTGTGCTTGAAACAACAGGAACTCCCAGAGGCTCTGATCAAATCCTACTCAAACAGCTACAAGGATGTAATCTTGGCCCTAAAAGCTTATAGCCCTTGCAAAGCATCCAAGAGCCCATTGAAACATTGCCTGGATTGAAAAGTGTTAATTTTTTGTTTTGTCTCCCACTTGGTATCAATGATACTGGAGGTGAAGAGGAGAGGACTTTTAGATTTCCAACTGTTCAATTCAGCCATGAAAGGACAATGACATTTCTGACACACTAATTGTTTACGGTAACGGACTGGGATGCTGCAAGACTGGGATCTTCATCCCACAGCGGAGACTGGGAGGGAGAAGTTGGGAAGATTGCTCAGGGCCACATCCAATCTGGCTGTGAACACTTCCAGGGATGGGGCAGCCACAACTTCTCTGGGCAGCCTGTTCCAGTGCCTCACCACCCTCTGAGTAGACTTACTAATATCTACCTAAATCTCTCCTCTTTTAATTCAATACTGATCCCCCTGGTCACTACCTGCCCATGTAAAAATGTTGCTCTCTCTCTCTTTTATAAGCTCCCTTTAAGTGCTGGAAGTAAACGGGCTTTGACTTGTACACAACAAGCAAAGAAAATGAAGATTTCTGTGTTAGAGGTAGCCCCTTCCTCCTCTAGTGCCCCCAGACTTTCCAGCACGCTTCAAGGTCTGCTACAGAACCACCTGCAGCAACACTTTTTGGGGGATGCAACACTTTTGGCTGAGATACATAATAAAGTTGGTAGCCTGTCTGTGGAATGTGTATGTGGAAAAAGAGAGGCCCTGGCTGGAACATGCTGAGTAAATGGGGATGTCTGTTATTTCTTGTTGTCTTTGCTTCCTCTGTCCCTTCTCCACTCTTGAAAGCCTTAAGGATCCATATTGTATGTTAAACCAAATGCCACAATTGCTGGAAATGTGTATTCACCCAATCCATCCCCCTCTTCCTTTCTCCCCCTACCCCATCCCTGAGCTCGAAGTCAGGGCTTTTCCTGAAACCCAATGAGCACAATTTGCAGCTCTCAGAAGCTTGTCTCCCACATCCTGTGTTTTGTCCCAGCTCAGAAAGCAAAAGATGAGTAAGATGAGACTCCTTAAGCCAAGCCTACCTTTAGGCATGCGCTTTAAGATGCTGAACACTTTGCTCTGATCAATGAGGCTTTTTGCCCGGAAGAAGTGCATGCTTGGAGGAAACTGTCCTGTAGATATGGCTGTTTCCACTTCCTTCTTCTTGAGGTTTAAGAGCTTTGTGCTGAGCTGCTGCTCCTGCCTGCTCAGCACCAAGTTGCCACCTGTCTGCTGGGCTTTCTCCTCCTGCATCAGGGAGTCCCGGTCCTTCCAGAGAGGGATGGGAAGGCAGAGGGAAGCCAGACTCAGGAGAAGGTATGCCAGCCTTATGCCTTGCCCAGATGGAGGTTTCATCTTAGAGCTGCACCTTGACAGGGAGAAAAGATTGAGGCATTAGCAGAGGTCAGAAGGGAGCGCCTCGGCAATGGGGTGTGAAGCTGTTGGCCCATCATGCAGAGGCAGTGGGTTAATGGGATGCTCAGAACTGGCAGGGACACCTGGTCCCAGTGTCCCCTGAATTTAGGGCTAATGGATCAGCACACTCCCAGTGGCTTCTGACTACACACAGCAAGGCTGGGTAGGGTGAAGAGAAGTTGCTCTGTGGATCACACCGGCAGCACATTGTGCAGTAAGGCAAAGGCCCAGCTCTGGAATGGGGGATTGGTGTGTCGGAACTCAAAATGTCCCTCAGACATTTTCAGAGGTTCCAGGCCTTGGTCAAAAGCATTTTAGACCCTGGCAAGCAGCTGAAAACAGCTGTGATCTTGAGTTTGAACCATGGAATGAATTACCAACTTTGAAGGTGGAACAAGCGGTCACAGAGAGTTAGATGGTATAGTAAAAGTAGTCACAAATTAGAGGGAAAAATTTTTTAGTATTGTACAAGGGGGTTTTAGTACCTGTACAGGGGCTTTTACTTTGTACATGGGGGTCAGGAGTTCTAAGATGGAGGAAAGTGGGCCTGATCCTGTTCTTCCTCCTTCTTCTTCCTTACCTCCATGTTCTTGGTGATGTTGGCATTTTTCTATTGGTTTAGGCTGGGGACACACTGTTCAACGTAGGTGACAGATATTGGCACATTATTGTAAATATAGCACAGGTAGTTTGTGGTATTTAATGTTTGTACCATCCCACTGAGGGGCAGAGCCCCACACGCTGCCCTGCAGGACAGACCTGCAGCAGGGCAGCAGAACTTGTTATAGATAAGAAAAAATAATCAACCTTGAAAACAGCACAGATGAATTATGGCTTCTTCTTTGGCAACGGGGCAGAAAGACAGAGACTTTCTACAATCTCGGAATCACCAATACCCACAGATTCCGACATTGGTGGGATCAGGATGTTGCTTGCAGTCTAGGAGGGAGCTCTCATTGGATAAGGTGTGCTGGTGCCAAGGTGCTGGCTGTGCTGATAATGTCCAGGTAAGGGGCTGGGCTTGAACTGATCAAATCTGATTCCCTCCAGATGAGAGAAGATCCTGTTGCACCCTTTTAGTACATTCCAGCTATCCGAAGGGTTAATTTACAGGCAGGATAACCCAAGGCTTTCTCTGCAGTAACAGAGGTGGGTCCCTTCCGTGCAATCCCAGAGGAAAGGGGATGGAAGTGAGACCATGGCAGTAGTAGGAGATCACAGGAGACAGGCACATGTGAACTCTGTGCTCTCCCTCCCCCAAAAAAGCACAACTGCAACATAATCCTTCAACACCAGGCTTTAGTGACCCTCTGTGCCAACCTCTCAAGAGCAAAACAGGCTGGAGAAGGGCTCAATATTTTTAAATAACCCTATGTGAATTACATAGAAAGGCCCTGCTTGTGCACATGTCTCCTCCTTCCAGCCTCTGTAGGTCCACGAAGACATCCCCAGCCCCTTTACTGGGTCCTGGGGAGCAAACAGAGCAGGGGTGGATGCATTCCCCTACCAGAGCTTAGAAAAGGAGACATCCCCAAGAAAGGTTTATCTTCAGCGTGGTGAGACCGCCTCACTTACTGTTACCTCCGCTCCTCCCGGAGCTCACGCAGCCGCTGCCCGGGCGGTGGGGCGGCTCTGCCTCCTCACGCTGCCCCAGCCCGGACAAGGAGAAAGAACAGGGTCCGTCCGGCCGTGCCGAGCCAGGCACACCGAGTTCCTCTTCCTGTGCAGCCGCCCCGGCTCGCCCGGCTTTTATTTCACCCCAGCTGCGCCGCTTCATGAATATCTAAGGAGGAGGAGGAGGCAGCGGAGGCTGTGAGAAAGTGGGACAGCGGCTGAAGAGCCGGGCTGCCAAAAAAGCGGGGTCACTCAGGGGAACCCTGAGCTCTTTAACCCATCACTGCCCCATGACAGCGAGAGCATCTCTGGGGGTTTGTCTGTGCAGCCGTGCCGCTGGGAGAATACCCGGGAGAAGTTCCCTGCAGCTTTTAATACCTTGCGAGAAGTTACCTGCTTTTAAATATCCTGCGAGAAGTTCCCTGCAGCTTCTAAATACCGTGCGAGAAGTTCCCTGCTTTTAAATATCCTGCGAGAATACCCGGGAGAAGTTCCCTGCTTTCAAATATCCTGCGAGAATACCTGGGAGAAGTTCCCTG